TAGTTCACTAAACCTCACCCATGTGAGTCAAAGTAATATATACTGCATATATATGTCTATTTATAAACTTAAGGGTTAAGAGAACGCAGTAATTAACCGAGGCCTAGTTCGTTTATGACGATTAGTATAAAGCGAACTGCTCATCTCTAGGATCTTGTTCAATACATAAATGTACAGTACAACTAATCAGTCAAGACAAACTGTACTGTTGATACTACAACCGTTCACGATAGGGTGTTCATGTCCATCTAGGTTGTGAACCATTATTCTTGTTTCGCAAGTAACTGATACAGTGATCTTTTCAGTTCGCCCGATGACGACCCACCCTATCTAAGTAAAAACAACAGAACGTAGAATTTGTTTAATCTAAAATGATTCTCATTCATAAAGGGTAAAAGTGTAATATTATCCAAAGCCAAGCTTTTAGTATATAACACTAACAACTTGTGGCAAGGCGCATGGGGGAGTGTGTTGGGCAGGCCAACGTCTCTGTTACAAATTCCAAAAGCCAGTAAATTTTGATAATGTATGGCCAGAGCGCGATCAGAGGAAGAACCAGCAGGCTCCGAACCAAGGAGGCAGAGCTAGAGTGTTCGCACTGACTCAAACTAAGGCCGACCAGAACAAATGTACTATGTCCGACATGTTATTTGTGCACCATGTAACTGTCTATGCATTGTGTGATACTGGAGCCACACATTCATTCCTTTCATCAAGTTGCTTAGAAGCCATCGATATCAAGAGCATTAGCACTGTCGCAGCTCTCAAGGTTAGCCTAGCACCGAGAAGGCCAACGCCTACGTGATCGATATGAAGGACTTTGACATCATCCTCGGGATGGATTGGATAAGCAAGTACCGAGTGGATATCCAATGCTATGATCGTGAAGTGACATTTTACTTAGAAGAGGATGAGAAGATTACCTTCTATGGTGCCAAGACGAGAACTGTGTCGAGAGTGATCTCGACTATGAGGGTTGTGAAGATGCAGAAGGAGGGTTATCAATGGTACTTGGTAAGCATCGTGGGGAGCGAGAAGGAGAAATCATCACCGGAAGGCGTGCTGATCGTTTGGGAGTACGTGGATGTTTTGCCAGAGCAGCTGCTGGGAGGGCCACCAGACAGACATGTCGAGTTCACCATCGACTTGGTACCAGGAGTGAGTCCAGTGTCTGAGGCGTTGTACCGAATGTCACCTTAGGAGTTACAGGAGCTTAAGACGCAGATCCAAGAGCTACTGAACCTCGGTTTTATCCGACCAAGTGTTTCACCGTGGGGAGCTTAAAACTTCTTTCTGGAGTTATTTTTTCTCATCTTTTGAATTTTGTTGTTTGTATGGCCTTGGTCGCTTTTCTAATTCCAAGGTGGGTTGATCTAGACTTTTTTATGACTATAGCGGTGTCTTTACATACTGAGTTTATTCTTTTTGAGCTATTTATATATTGTGAAATAGTCTTTTTCGCCCCATTATGGAAATGTATTAAGTTTTTCACACCGCCCGTAGATAAGTTTAACTTTTTCACCACAAAAAGTGCGAAAAGAATTTTGCAATGAATATGCGATAGTTGCGCGATAACATTGTGCGAAAGTTAAAAGTGCGAAGTCATTCGCATATCCCTTCGCACTTTCTGGTGTGGAAAAGTTAAAGTGCAAAGACATGGCACGATGAATATGCGACAATTATGCATTTGATATGCGACAGTTATGCAGTCCATTCGCATAACCTTCGCACTTTCCGGGATGAAAAAGTTAGATTGTTAGTGAGCGGTGTGAAAAACTTAATGTATCTTTGTATTGAGGTGAAAAAGATTTTTTCCCTTTTATATTTATCATTTGACAAAAATAAAAAAAAATATAAAGGAAAAGAAAAAAAATGGCCGATTGTACAAGTAAGAAGTTACATTTTAAATAATGATGCATTTTCAAATAATATTCAAAATTTAAATGAAAAAAACTTTTCTCTTCCATTTTTAAGAATTTAGTTTTAATAAAACAATATATCTATTAAAAAAATTATCTATAAATTCATTCATACTACCTCTTGTTCATTATAAATGTCGTTTTGACTTTTGTGATTCATCCATTTTATTATGTATCTAGACATATTATATTTTATTATTTATCTAGACATTAATATGTCTAGATACATAATAAAATGGATGAATCAAAAAAGTCAAAACGACATTTATAATGAATAGGAGTGAGTATGAATTAAGAAAAGTACCATAATATGACACATGTAATACAAGTAATAAGTCTAATTTTAAATATATAAATAATATAATGCAATTTTCAAAAGTATTTAAAATTAAAATAATATTTTTTTAATTCCAATATAATTATTTTAACTATGTAAGTTACTCCTAAATCACGTGCTCATCGAGTACATATCATATGGATCGTATGAAAACAGTATCTTTCTCAAAATAAATAAAAATCAAAAAGAACGAATGCGTATAAAATAATTTTACGGGCTCTTTTTGTCGAGCTTTGTCCCTCTTTCAAACCCTAGCCCTCACTCCTGCATACAAAACGACACTTGCCCCGTTGATTGTTTCCTCCAATCATTATGGTCAAGAAGCGAAAATCTGCCGCCGCCGCGGCTCCTCAGGAGCCCGAACCCGTTCAGTCTGAGCAGGAGCCCGAGTATCCCGAGCCGGTAGAAAACCAGCAGGTCCCGGAGGAAGAAGCAGTCGGCAACGGCGGAGAGGAAGATGAACCGGAAGAAGAGGCAGGTGGGGAGGGAGAAGACCAGGACAACATGGACGAGCAGTCGAACGACGCCGTTCAGGGCGACAACGTGAACAACGACCATCAGATCGAAATCGCCGGGAATCCGTCACAGGCCGCGGTCCCGGTAAACGGCGGCGAGGACGAGGGGGACGAGGAGGAGGAGCCGCTCGAGAAGATTCTGGATCCCTTTTCCAAGGACCAATTGACTCTCCTGGTCAAAGAAGCGGTGGCTAATCACCCCGATCTAGTCGAGATCGTTCATAAATTGGCCGACTCTGACCCCTCCCACCGCAAGATCTTTGTCCACGGGCTCGGGTGGGAAGCCAGTGACGAGACCATCACAACCTTGTTCAGCAAGTACGGTGAAATCGAGGACTGCAAGGTCGTCAAGGACAAGATATCCGGGAAATCCAAGGGCTATGCTTTCATTCTATTTAAGCATCGCAAAGGGGCCCGGAGGGCCCTGAAGGAGCCACAGAAACTGATCGAGGGCCGGATGGCGTCATGCCAGTTGGCCTCTGCTGGACCCGTCCGTGCCCCGACACCTGCAGTGGCTGCTTCTGTCCCTGCTCCCTATGAATCGGAATACACAAGGAGGAAGATATACGTGAGCAACGTGTCCCCTGAGCTCGACCCGAACAAGCTCCTGGCGTTCTTCTCAACATATGGGGAGATTGAGGAAGGTCCACTGGGCTTGGACAAGCAGACTGGGAAACCGCGAGGGTTCTGTCTGTTCGTGTACAAGACTCTTGAAAGTGCCAAGAAGGCCCTTCAGGAGCCGCACAAGACTTTCGAGGGCCATAACCTGCACTGCCAGAAGGCCGTGGATGGGCCTAAGCATGCCAAGGGCTTTTTCAGCCCGCAGCAGAGCCAGCCACCACGTCAGCAGGGGAACCAGGGGAACTACCGCCACCAGGCCAAGAAGGGGAGATACTCTTCTGGAAGTAGTGAGGGCATGAGGCCCGTGGGTGGTCACATGATGGCGCCCAACCCAGGCCAGGTGGGTTATAGTCCTGGGGTGGCGCCTGCTGCTATTGGACAGGCTGTGGCAGCTCTGTTGGCCACTCAGGGGGCTGGATTGGGTATTGGGAATTTTCTGGGAGGAATTGGTGGTGGCGGAAATCCGCAGGGAGGGCCACCCATGATGAATAATGCTGCTTATGGTAGTCAAGGTGGGGGCTATGTGGGCCAGCCGGGGATGCAGGGAGGTTATGGAGGCCAGTCGCAGATGGCACAAAGTGGGGTTAGGCCTCATCCAGGTGGTGCGCCGTACATGGGTGGTCCGGGTCACTAGGTAAGTTGGAAAGGTATGTGCTTTTTTATGGTGGCTAATACGATGTTGTTTTAGCAGCTGGTCATGTGTGTGATGCTTTCTAAAATAGTTTAAGCGTACCATGATTGGTTAGATTGAGCATTAGTTGGATTTTTGTCAAAGCTGGTCTCGAGCCCATATACTAAATACAAAGTGATATAAAAGAGAAGTTGCAAAGGTTTGATAACAGTAACTAACAAAATCACATTATTGGATTATTTTTTCAATTTTAAAACGGCCCTGTTGGGTTCTCGAGAGGGTTATTTTGTATTGTCTGGAATTTAGATATTAGAGCACTGGTGTTATTTGTTATCAAGTGAAAGATTGTTTTGACAATACTAATGTCAAAAAAGCATCACGTACTGATTTGCACATACTGCAATTTTTCACTAGTTTATCCTTTTTGTCTTCTTGTGCAGCTTTAAAATACATGTGGTTTACTTTGCCTTTGGACCTGAGACTACCTTCAATTGCTACCTATTATGAACCTGTTAACGTGTTTTGATGACTTAGTAACCATTTGGAACATGTGTTTTGTGTAGGGCAATGGTGAGATGCAATGGTGAGATATATATGCTATTGAATATATTTTGTATGTTGTCATTCATTGCCATAGAGTAAAGCCACTGTTATGCTACATCTGCTTGTTTTCTCATTATCATCGAATTTTCAAGTTTCATAGTGTATTCACTGTATGCCTTCATTAACTCGGCTCAACATATTTATGCTTCTAGTTGATGTGTTTGTGCTTTCATGCTTTTACAAGTTTATTTCCACACCTAACATAAAGCTTCTTGCTTAGTTTGAAAATATGAACGGCTACATTCTTCTCCGTTAAAATTTTGTTTGATGACTCAAAATATTGCTTAGGGGTGGCAATTAATTTTCTTTTCAAATTAACATTTCATATCAAATGTATTTACTGTGCAGATTGTTCAAAAAATGCCACAAACTTTTAAGTTTTGGACACTGGTGATTCTTCTGCTGTTCGAGCTCTCATGCAAATGACGTCTTCATTGTACCAAAAAGTTATCATTTGCTTAAAGGCTAGAATATAAAACATGTATTTCTTTTTATAAAATACTTTTATCCAAGTATTTCTTTAGTCGGATTCTGATTTTTGTCTGAGTAGAAACCTTTTCAAGAGTTAACAACCATGATAACAAACGCCCCTGCATGTGTTTTTCCTAGACCAGAAAGGTCTTTAATCATCTATGTTTCTGTACTTTGCATTATATTTCTGTTGTTTCTTACCTAATTAACAATCTTGGTTTTATTTGTATTTGAAGTTCATATATATATATATATATAATTGTGAGTGTTGTGTGCGTGTGTGTTTATCTGCAGTGGCCTTAATAGTTAGGTCTTTATATAATTCTCTATCTGGAATGCTTATATTGCAGAATAGTCTTTGGTGTCACTGTGGCTGCAAACCATGTTAGTTGTTCATGAACCCTGATAACTTTAGTGTTTAACCATCTTATTGTATGCCACTTGGCTAGTATATTCCCAAAATTGAATGAGATTTATCACTCGCAATTCGGAGTTCGATACATCATGGGTGATTGCTAGCAGCATCAATTTTTCTACTGAATTAAAACCATTTTTTTTCTTTTCTTTGTCAACATTGATGCTATTCTTAAAAATTGAACATTTTCTTCGGGACCTATTGAAAACTCACTCCCATTGATCTTTTGCTTCAATACCATGTCCGCACTTTGGGCTCCCGAGTTCTGCCAGATTTTCAGCAGGGAAAGAGCTTCTTTTACTTTATTATACTCATTTCTCCAAGGTTCCTTAGTCCAATTATTTCCAAACGAGGATGCTATGTGAATAGTCATTTTTATTTACTTTGATTGATTAAAAAAACTCTTGAGGTTCATAATATTTACCAAAAAATTCAATTCTCTTTCAAACTTGGACATTTGTTTCTACATTACAAAACACCCTTGAGGAGGTTAGAAATGGGTTTTTCTAACACAATGCAAGCCTCAATACCGGTCGTTTTGTAGTACATCGAGTGCCTTTCTTTGTAAGAAAGCTGAATAAATTATGTGAGTATAGCTCATGGGATTAAGGTAAAGAGGGCAATAAGATCAGCTAATATGTGGGCCGGAGTTTTTGCTGCTTTCTGGCCAGCAGGTCGTGCAGTTATTGGTCCCTGCTGGAAAAAGCCTTGCGCGGGTTGTTTGTACTTTGTTGGCAAAGATTGTATTGTGAAGTTGGAGTTGAAGCTTTTCCATAATATCATGTTTTTGGTGACCTGAGTAACGCTTTGTTGGTTTTGGCTCTGTGTTTCCTTGGGTTGCTGCGTTGGGATTGTTCAATTAAATTGTTTTTTAATATCTTGCCTTGATTACAAAGAACTGCTGGTGAAGATCTTGGTGGATATAATTATTTTTCGTTGTCTTGGTGTATAATTTAATTCCTTCGACATAAGATTGGATATACTTGCTTATAAGTTCAACCTTCATTGACTTTTATTTTTCAATTTCATCAAAAATGAAAATCAATTATTACTAGATTTTATTATAAATTTACTATTCATTTGCATATATATATTTATCTATTGATCATTTATATTCACCATTTTATTATTATTGTTATAACAAATTTATTCGTTACATTTTATTTGATATTCATTCATAATTTTAATCCTTTTATTTACCCATTTTTCCAATTAATTTTTACTATTCAGAATAATCAATCTCCAATTTATCCACAAGTGAAAGGGAATTGATGTAATAAAAAAAATTCTCCCTCTCCTCTCTCTCATACAAGAAACTCTCCCTTTCCTTTGTGTTGCTACTAGCAATGGCGCACTCATGCGGCCATGGGCTAGGCTTAACGATGGCCACCCTCTCTCTGGTGGTCGATGGAGGTACACTCCCATTGTGCCGTCCTCCCTTTTCTGGGGTTTTGGGGTCGGAGTCGACAGTCTGTCCGGCGTGGTTTGTCGGGTGGGCTTCCTTGTTGTCAGCTCTTTCTTCTGGCTTATAGCTTTTGGGAGTTCAGATCTGCGCTCAAATTTTGATTCATCGCCAGATCTATCTTGCCACTTGAGTTCTGTTTGGATTTTTTTAGATATGGAGGCTTCAGGTTTGTTTTATCTTTTAGTTGTGGTTGTGGAGGTTGGCCCGTGTTCTGGGTACTGTGGTGGTTGTTGTGTATGGTTCGAGAAGAGCAGGGGAGGTTTTATTGTGTTCGTAGATGTGTGTTGTTTTAGGGTGTTTTGTTGTGTTTCGTTTTGGTTTTGTTAGTCTTCCTTCATGGAGTTTTCTCGTGTTTTGTTTTGATAATCTCCCTTGTGGAGTTTGTTAATTTTGAAATTTCTTGTAAGGTTAAGCTCTTTGTGAAGTTGGATCGCTATGTCTAGTAACTCCCACGTTGTTGTAACCATTTGGTTACCAATTGTACTTATTTCAAGTTTGTATAATCATATCTGCCATTTCGAGGAAAAAAAATATTACCAACGAGCATATTGAAGTTATCGACGAGCGTATTTGAAGTTAAGAGACAAACATTCGTGACGTTAAATGGACTTCATACTTTATAAATCTTATTATTCCAACTAGTGAGAATCATGTGCGATGCATGGGAGTTTCGTTCCTTAGAACATTTTTCAAAACTTTATTTTATGAATATATTAGCCTGCTGATCCATTTATATTGATATAAATAATATTTTAACATATATATTTATCTTTTAATGCAGAAAGATAATAAGTTTACATATTTTGTTTCATCATAATACTCAAATATTATTTTATTCAAAAATTGTCATTATTATTTATAACACTTATAGAAGTAATATTTTTTTTATATAATATTTAATGTATATTAATATTATTTATTAGTGTAACTAATTTCAAAATATATAAGCAAATTTAATATTTGTTAGGAATGTGATTATACGTAAATCAAGATAAAATGTAATGTATCCAATAAAATTTGCTTATGATATTGTATGCCTATTTTTAGTCAATATATATATACATATATATATATATATATATATATGTGTGTGTGTGTGTGTGTGTGTGTGTGTGTGTGTGTGTGTGGTAACGGGTTTATTGGGGGTGGGGTCCCTTAATGTGGTGGTTGGTGTGTGATTAAATGTCCATATTACCTTTAATGATGGTATTATTTTGATTTTTTTTTTCAGCCATTTGATCATTCGATTTAATGGCTAAGATTTATTGTTATTTCTTTCACTGAGTACCATTTTGACTGCAGTGCGGCCCTATATATATATATATACATACATACATACATACATATATACATACATACCTACATCATGTCGGTGGAGACTAACATAAAAAATATTTTTTTTTTTTTTAATTTTATTTCATTCTCTAAACTTTCTCCACGGACTTAAGGTAGACTTTTTACTTAACTAGTTGCAACCCGTGCATTTGCACGGAAAGCTAACCAATTTTTTTCATTTCCACGGAAAGCTATGTGATAGAGGAAAAAATAAAATAAATTGTAAGCAATAGGAAAAATAATAACATAATCACTTGATAAAAGCCCAAGAAAAAAAAATCTAAATATTATTAAACACTTCCTTATATACAACGTTCGTGGTTTTATTATCGTCAGAAAGTCCATCAGCACAAATAAGAATCTTCAAACTCCTCCGACTCGTTACTCTAGAAAGCTCCACGTATAATTGCCCATGACTAAATACAGGGCTCTTCAATAGTAAGCCGACGTGCGACATTGACTGACCTTGACTCTTAGATTGTCATAGCATAGGATACTATGAGAGGGAACTGCCTTCGCTGAAACTTGATCGGTACCTTCAAATTGGATGGTATGATTGTGAGCATAGGAATAAGAACCTTATCACTAGTTCTGGCACCGGTTAGTATTCTTCATTCTAGGACATAGATGCTGAGCTTAGTAATAAACAACACAAACAAATTACTCAAATTTGTACATAAAATCAAATAAAATATAGACAATATATCAAATTTT